ACTGAAAAAGGTTTCTAATTCCTGCTCTTCTGGAAACAAAGGCCAAAACATTATGTGGAAAAAAAGGAGTCATTATTAGCCAATCAAGTCCCTAGGTCAGTTGGTCGGTTTCATTCCTTAGTGTGATGATGTACCAGTTAGTTTTTTTTTTTAATTATATAATTTGGAAGTTGAGCGACTCTGACCACATCTTTCAAAAAATCGAAAAAACCCATGTGAATGTCTATGTCCAAATGAGGATTCGAATCCGGATTGGGAATCTGTACCCGTTGTTGTTGTAGTTCAATTGATATTCTTGCATCTTCGACGGAGAGCTACCACCGACATTGTATTTTTCTGGTATGTGAATGTGAATTAATAGACTCTTTTCTTTTCTTTCTACATATGCGTCCCAATCTCTTCTTACGTATTCTCATTGGGTTGTTGAAAGGGAGTCCGTTATTTATTAATCTCAGAACAAAACCGATGCTGAAATTATTGACGCTGAATAACACGAGGTCGATACCAAATTTGCGCAAGTTAATTTATGGATTGGAGGATCAACGGCATTGCTCTGGGCTTCGGTTGAATAACAGATTATGGGCCGAATATTCCACTCCGCATACTCCATAGGCCATACCAAAAGCATTGATCTGATTTAGTCTTACACCCAAGCACAAAACGAAGACGATCCCATGTTTTGCTGACTTTACATTAGGGTTCGGCCGTTTTAGCCCCGTACCCATCTCGTAGAAATCCAACGAGTGTGAAGTCGGGTCCTTTGCTGGTCTGGCACGGGTTTCTTCGGCCGATTACCCAAACCAGTCAAGATAACCCGAGTTGAAGAGGACGAGAAAAGACACGAGGGATTTGCAATATTCAAAGCATGGGGCGAAGATAAAAGTGGGATAGAAAAAAAAAATTAAAATCGAACTGATATTCTTGGCTCATTCCTGTTCATTTGTAGGAGCCGTCGAGACAGGAGGAAATGAAAGGAGAGCATAGTAAAGCATGTGTGAATGTGATTAGAGGGTATAGTGATAGTCAAATAGAGGTGATGGAAGACATGAACAAATGATTGAGAGAGCACTACGGATAAAACAAATAAAGCCCAGGCTGTGTGTGCGCGGAGATGGCGGTGGCATTGGCATAACCCAAGCAACAAGAGGAGGGAACATGGAGGCACGTCTCCTCTCTTGCCCTCTCCCTTTGGGGCTTTAGTTTCTGGTCAAACGGACGAAATAGAAGCAAGGGGAAAAAGAAAAGAAGGAACCAAAAAATCTCTTCTTTCTACTGTTTGAGTCATTTAAACGTCTCCCGTGAGTCTCGTCTCTCCATTTTCTTGGCGAATTGTGCTTCTCGGCCCAGATCTTGAATCTCTCTTCAATGGAGGGCCAACGAGCCAGCAATTCTTCTGCGGGCTCCGGCCAAGACGGCGCTGCCGACGTCTCTCCTTGTTTCTATGTCCCCAATCCCTCTGGGGCTGACTTCGATGCCGATGCCGATGCCTCTTCTCTCCCTGCCCCGTAAGTCTTTTACTTCTCCTCCTCCTCTTTCTCCTCCTCCACGTCTGAATCTTACTCACGCTGTTGCAGTCCCCCAGCTCCTCCAGTGGCATTGTCCATTCCTGTCGAGCTTGCTGCCGCCATTCCTCTCGTTGATCGCTTCCAGGTCGAAGCCTTTCTGCGTCTTATGCAGAAGCAAATCCACTCTGCCGGCAAGCGTGGCTTTTTTTCTTCCAAAAAGTCTTCTGGGTCTAACGTTCGCGAACGCTTCACTTTCGAGGACATGCTTTGCTTCCAGAAGGTTTCTTCCCGTCTTTCTCTTACCTCTTCTGCTGCGGTTGCCATCCCCATTCTCTTCATTGACTTGTCTTCTTCCCCTTCAGGAACCCATCCCTACATCCCTCCTCAAGATAAACAGCGACCTCGTCGGCCGCGCTACCAAGTTGTTCCACATAATTTTGAAGTACATGGGAGTTGATTCTTCTGATCGAGCAACCCCACCCAGTTTGGATGAACGCATTGAGCTTGTTGCAAAGTTGTATAAGAAAACATTGAAGCGTGTTGAACTCAGGGATGAGCTTTTTGCCCAAATCTCCAAACAGACTAGGCACAACCCTGACAGGTACGCCTTGCCTAATCTCTCTTGGATGGTAACTTTTAGATGCACACAACTTCTTGCCTTACTATACAATCCTTTGTTTTCCCCTTTCCTCCTTTCTGTTATGATGTCTTAGGCAATACTTGGTAAAAGCTTGGGAATTGATGTACTTATGTGCCTCCTCAATGCCTCCTAGCAAAGATATTGGCGGATTTTTATCCGAGTACATTCATAATGTGGCACATGATGCGATGACTGATCCAGAAGTTCAGATTCTTGCTGTAAATACCTTGAAGGCCTTGAAGCGTTCTATAAAAGCTGGTCCGAGGCATACCATACCAGGCCGTGAAGAAATTGAAGCTCTTTTGACCGCCAGAAAGCTCACGACCATAGTCTTTTTCTTGGATGAAACTTTTGAAGAAATATGGTATGACATGGCTACTACAGTCTCCGATGCTGTCGAGGTATCCTATCTGATCTTGTCCCACACAATAATGTGCATTGATTAGGGGTATAGCTACGCTGCATTGCTTCCAATATTCAGCTGCAAGCTGACAATGCCTTTGTCACAGGAAGTTTGGTTTAACAATGCTTTCCTTCTATTAAGCCTGCTCGAGCGTGCTATTCGTCATTTTTTCTTTCGTTTTCCTAGAACTTTTGTCATCTCTATGCCTCATATGTATCAGGAGCTAGCTGGGACAATCAAACTATCAGCCTTTTCTAGCTTCAGTTTGTTTGAATGTCGTAAAGTTGTTTCAAGCTCAAAATCATCTGATCCTGGAAACGGTATGCCTCAGGTTGATTTCTTGATCGATTTTTTTGGAATGGTTATTGCTTTGTATACTGATCTTTTTTATCTGTTGCTTGCAGAGGAATACATAGGGTTGGATGATAACAAGTATATTGGGGACCTACTTTCAGAATTCAAAGTTATGAAGGATAGAAACAAAGGGGAGATACTTCATTGCAAACTAGTATTCAAGAAAAAGTTATTTCGGGAGTCTGATGAGGCTGTAACAGATCCGATGTTCGTGCAGCTTTCTTATGTTCAAGTAGGCATTTCCTCCAATAATTATACTGGGAACAGACTGAATAGTAGGAACAGTGATATTTTATTTTAGTTTTTGCTATAAACTTGTTCTGCCCTTGCTAATATTCATGTACATGCAGCTGCAACACGATTATTTGTTGGGAAATTATCCTGTTGGAAGGGATGACGCTGCTCAGCTTTGTGCACTACAAATTCTTGTTGGGATTGGATTCGTTAGTAGCCCGGAGTCATGCATGTTAGTCATTTTTCTACTCTTCTTAAATCATATCAAGGTCGTATCTTTGTTTTCAGTTTGATAAAACATTAGATTTGCTTGTGAAGTTCATGGAAGTGATATTTTCTCGTGTTGGTTGTTCTGTAAGTGACATATTTTATTTTTATTGATTCACATTCTAGTGATTGGACATCACTCCTCGAGCGATTTTTACCAAGACAAATAGCAATCACACGGGCAAAGCGTGAATGGGAATCAGATATTCTTTCTCGCTACCGTTCAATGGTAAGGATTAAACATGCATTTTCCACTTTGTTGTTTATTTCCTTTTCGGTTGAGTTTTACGCTAGACTTTATATCTATAAAATCAATAACAGAGGAAGTGATTTCCTGCTATAACGTTTTTTGGTACTATGCAGGAGAACTTGACCAAAGACGATGCAAGACAACAATTTTTGCGGATATTAAAAGCATTGCCATATGGAAATTCAGTCTTCTTCAGTGTCCGCAAGATAGATGATCCTATTGGACTGTTACCTGGACGAATCATTCTGGGTATCAACAAACGTGGGGTGAGGTTTCAAAGTAGATTATGGCCAATGCTTTGCATGATAATTTTTCTTTTTAGAAATGTTTTTAGTATATATCTTTATAAAATTACTTTGTTGGCTTTTGCAGGTTCACTTTTTTCGACCAGTTCCTAAAGAGTATTTGCATTCAGCAGAGCTACGAGACATTATGCAATTTGGCAGCAGCAACACTGCTGTTTTTTTCAAAATGAGAGTTGCCGGTGTTCTTCACATATTTCAGTTCGAAACTAAACAGGTTCACATATTATTGTCTGTCTATCCATCTTGCTTTAAAGGCTCGAAGCAATTTTCAGTGAATCATTTATGTTATGGCAATTTGTAAAGCAGAGTCATCATTTTGCGCTGTGCAGGGAGAAGAGATTTGTGTTGCTTTACAAACACATATAAATGATGTCATGTTACGTCGTTATTCCAAAGCTCGACCCGCTACTAGTAGTTTCGTGAATGGAGATATTTCCTGCAGTTCTAAACCACAAAATGTTGAAGTGTATGAAAAACGTGTGCAAGATCTTTCTAAGGCTTTTGAAGAGTCGCAAAAGAAGATCGATAAGGTATGCTTTGAAACATACACTTTCGTAATTCTCGATCATGAAAATAGTCATGTATTTTTTAGAAACTAAGGAAAATTTAGTGAGAGGTTGATCTCGGTTGGTTAAATTAGCCAACAGAAAGCTACTTCGACTTTAGGTCACAACATTTTATGCCATTCAGTTGTGACATTTCACTATTAATCATGTTTCCTGTTATAGTTGATGGAGGAATTGCAAGAGAAGAATCACCAAGAAGTAACCATGCGAGAAGAATTAGAAGCCTTGTACAATAATTTGGAGCTTGAAAGGAAGATCATTTTGGAGGTTACAACTGAACGTGATAAACTTATATCATTGTGTGATGAGAAGGACTCGACTCTTCAGGTTAGTTTTTCTCATAAAATATTCATCTCCTTTTATGCTTGTCTTTTCTTTGTCATTCATTCCATATATTATAGGTCTTTATGTCGGAGATGCAGGACATGGAAGCGAGGTTGGCCAAGCTGGATAAGACGATACCAAATAAAGATGCGAGACTGGAATTCAATGGAACAAATAATGAGGTATGTAGGATATGCTTTAATGTGATTAAAGTCTTCTGATTTACCCCTAACAAAATTATTCTGTTATTACCTACTTCATGTTAGCCACTTGGTGACTTAGTTCTCTTCACCATGGCTTTCTTGTCATAGATGTTGCACAAGATCCAGAATGAGCTAGAACTCCGCAACAAGGAGTTGCATACTGCTGTTGAAAATACAAAACGATTGTTAAATGAGAACAGTTCATTAGAGCAGAGGGTTTTCAATATCGAGAAAAAAAGAGCAGAGGAGGTGAGTTCTATTTTTTATTGAAATTTACTATGTCAGATTATGAACTGGTGACTCAAATTCTTAGATGTGACTGACTCTTCAAAATTTCAGCTCGAAACTATTCAGAAGAGATTTGAACAAGAAAAGAAGGTGTTGAAGCTCCGAGCTTCTGAACTTGAAAAGAAGCTAGAAATGCTCACAAGAGATTTAGCTACTGCCAAATCTACCGTTGAAATTAAGAATTCTGAAATGCTGGTATTGCAAAATAATCTAAAAGAGCTAGAAGAGTTAAGAGAAATGAAAGAGGTACTACTTATGTTTATTACTTGTCTTTTGTATTTATGTTGTTTTTTTTCATTTGAACAGTGATTGTGTAAATCTATAACTTAATGTTTCATGAATTGAGGTCATCTTATTGGTTTTTTAGGACATTGATAGGAAGAATGAGCAGACGGCTGCAATCCTGAAGATGCAGGGAACCCAACTTGCTGAGCTAGAAATGCTTTACAAAAAAGAGCAAATACTGAGGAAAAGATACTATAATACAATAGAAGGTAAAATGACATGACAATCAATTACTTACGACATAAGAGTTGGTATTCGTTCTTTATTGTTATTTATTACGCATCATTTTTGTGTGTTATTGTAGATATGAAAGGCAAGATTAGGGTCTATTGCCGTATAAGACCTCTAAATGAGAAGGAGATTTCTGAAAGAGAGAGGCAATTGTTGGCGAGTGCGGATGAGTTCACAGTTGAGCATTCATGGAAAGATGAGAAAAAAAAACAACACATATATGATCGTGTATTTGATGAAAATGCTAGTCAAGATGACGTATTTGAGGATACAAGGGTAATACTTATCTGTAATTCTGTTTGTTTGTTTTTGTCCATTTTGTTTCTAACTGACCAGCATGACTGTTTTTTAACAGTATTTGGTGCAGTCGGCTGTGGATGGGTACAATGTTTGCATCTTTGCATATGGTCAAACTGGTTCTGGAAAAACTTTTACTATATACGGGAGTGAAAGCAACCCTGGACTCACACCTCGAGCTATGGATGAACTTTTCAAAATATTAAAGCGAGATAATAATAGATTTACATTTTCTCTAAAGGTAATTTGTTTTTCCTATTTATATCCTGTTAGAAGCTTGTGAATCCAAGTGACACTAAGAAATTATGCAGGCCTACATGGTGGAGTTATATCAGGATACACTTATAGATCTTTTATTACCAAAAGGAGTCAAACGCTTGAAACTTGATATTAAGAAAGACTCTAAGGTAATATGGCTTATTTGTTTACTACCGAGCATTACACATTCGTGACATCAAATTGACAGTATCATGGGTCAATATTCTTCACCTGTTGTTCTTTGGTATTGCATTTTCAGGGCATGGTATTTGTGGAGAATGTGACAACTATTCCTGTATCAAAATTGGAGGAACTGAAAGATATTATTGAAAGGGGATCTGAACGGCGACATGTTTCTGGAACAAATATGAATGAAGAAAGCTCGAGATCTCACATAGTACTTTCAGTTGTTCTTGAAAGTATTGACCTTCAAACTCAGTCTACTGCCAGGGGCAAGGTAACAAATTTTTATGTTGATTTATCCTCCATCCAATCATGTTTTTATTAGGAATGCCTTCAATATTTTCCCTTCACTTGCCATGTAAAGCCCACAAGATGGAACAGTGGCTCCATGGTTAAACCTATTCTGGGCGTGAATGGTTAAACCTCTTTGTGGCGTAGGATAGGGAAGAAACAAAATGTATTGAATAATGTCTCAAGTCTCATTCTTGGGCTCCTTTCCATACATTACAAACTCCAACAAATTGAAGGAGCAATCTCTGGAACACTTAATTTGATAAAGAGATTAATGTTTCTTTATATTTTTTTCCATATTCATTGTTATGGTTATATCCTTCAATATCACAACATTTTTAGTTGTCTATCTGCAGTTAAGTTTTGTGGATCTTGCTGGATCAGAAAGAGTAAAAAAGTCCGGCTCCGCTGGTTGTCAACTTAAAGAAGCTCAAAGTATCAACAAATCACTTTCAGCATTGGGAGATGTTATTAGTGCTTTATCTTCTGGCAACCAACATATTCCATATAGGAATCATAAGCTAACAATGTTGATGAGTGATTCTCTGGGCGGTAATGCTAAAACATTGATGTTTGTCAATGTGTCTCCAGCTGAATCAAATTTGGAGGAGACGTACAATTCTCTTGTGTAAGTCAGAACTAATCTCTTTTATATGTATAGTATCAGTTGAAATTCGTTTTGCCTTGAGATTTAAAGAATATAACATACGATGATTAGGTGTTATAGGCGCAGGTAAAGCATATAACATTGTTATAAAACCGTATACCTTTTTTCCCCTTGTTTTTATTCTAATTTATTTGTCTTCAATCAGGTATGCATCAAGAGTACGATCGATTGTAAATGATCCAAGCAAAAATATTTCGTCCAAAGAGGTAGTTCGTTTGAAGAAGTTGGTTGCTTATTGGAAAGAGCAAGCTGGCAAAAAGGGTGAAGAAGAAGAACTGGTGGATATTGAGGAGGAACGGACACCCAAAGATGAGTCGGACGGCTAAACATTTCTCAGAATTTGTATGAACTGAAATGGAGACAAATCTCTTCGTCATTAGTTCCCGGTCTGGAAGAATAGCTGATTAATAGTACGAGACTGATGTTGTAGAACATTATCCATTCTCATCTGTATAAACATTTAATGTAACATTATTATCTTTGAAAGGGGGCGAGTTCTCTGTCTTTGAAGTATATATGTTTGCCATTGGTCAATATAATCACTATTCACTTTCTGTTATTAGATGATCGAAAGTGCATTTGACATTAACACAAGTGTATATCAACCAACATGTCCTCAATATAGTAGTCATCGAGGAGCTCAGATGCAAAAACAAACGTACCCTTAATGGTTGACCAAATAACAAGTTCTCAATAGATAGTTTAAATTCAGAAACATGTCCTCAATAGATAGTCAAACAATTGTTAAGGTTAGTTGGTTAGGATAGAAATTGCACTCGTTACTTAGCGGAAATTTGGAACAAGATGAGGATGAAGACGAACAGATCAAATAGCTATTGGATCAGGATCAATTATTCAGTTGAAGTAAATGATGGATCTAAAATTAGACTTTGGTGATTGACAAAATAGATTAACAATTCATCTATAGTATGACCATGGATTTTTACAATCCGATTTTCACGAGAAATCAATGATATTTCTTCTATTAAAAAGATGATAAATCCTATTTTGACTGTCTATTATCTTCATATGACTTGTAAACGTATTAGATCAACGTTGTTATAACCATTCTGTTGAAGACGACATTTGACGTAGTCAAACACGCTCCTCCTCATGTTAAGATATTCTAGACATCTCAGATGTGAGTATCTAAGAATTGTATGAGATTCAAGTATTAGATCATATGCATGTTTTAGTCACTTGTTTCTAATAAATATCCATGATTATGATTCACATCTAATATGCATGATCATCTCTATAATCATGGGCGGATCTAGGTTGTTAAGAGCCGGGGTATATGTTCCCATTTGTTTGATTAAAAAGAGATCATTTCTTTGTAAAATTAATAAGATTTTTAACAAATTTGTTATGTACCCTATGATAAAATTATGTTTATTATATAATAACATTAGGTTTGCCCCCATTCACAATAATTTTTAGGTCCGCTACTGTCTATAATCATCAATCATATCTCACTCTGATTTTAATTTAACTCTTGTAATGATGAAAAATATCTATATATAATAAACATGCAAATTATATAATAAAAAAATAATATATTAATAAACAATGAATCAATAAAATAATTCAAAATCGCGCAAAGGCGTCTTTGGGTAAAATGCTACAAGTTCCATTCCAATAATAAAAATGCATAATTTTCTTCCGAAACACGTTCTAATTCTTATCATTATTCCAATTATCCTATTGCTTCATAGACTCCTAATGTTTTTTTCTTCTTTAATTAATGACCTAATAAATTATTTTAATTCTTATTTTCTCCCACCAAATAACAAACGACAACAACACACCTTGTTTTCCTTTAATTCCCATTTATTTTATTTTTTTAAAGCGAAAATAAAAAAAAAAGTTGAACTTAACAATTTTGGACAGAAAAAATATCTGTCAAACAAACATAAATTTAAAAAACCGCTACATTTTAGACAATCCAAAAAAATATGTATTTATATATGTATATGTGTACATATATAAATATATTTGTTTGTATGTATATATATATATATATTTGTATAAATGTTTGTATATATGTGTATTTTTTATTTTGTATATATATAGATATATTTTTATATAGGAGTATATATATTTATATTTGTATATAGATATGAAAATATATTTATATATATGTATTTTTTGCTTTTTATTTTAAATTTAAAAAAAATTAAAATTTTTTAATTTTTTTTTTCGTTTTTTTTGAAATATGATGTGTAGTAAAAAATTCCATGTGGTATGACATGTTAGCCGTCACACGAGTACTACATAAACTGTTAACGGATCGTTTTCTTATAATATCAATTTAGCTTCTAAATAAGAAAACACCCATTCATTAAACTTTCGTTCTCCGTTGCATTCTCTCGTCTTCTCTCTTTCCTTCGCGAAGCCTCCTCTCTCCCCTTCAAGCTTCAGACGACGAGGTGCAAGAGAGGGCTGTTCCTCACCGGAAATTACCATACAGACCTCGGAGATGGCTGAAATTCCGTGAATCTCCTTCATTCTTTCGGGTTTAGGTAAGGTTTCTATGGTTCCTTTACCTTTTCTCGATTCAAGTCTCAGACCCTAAACCCCCCTTTTTGCATACTCTATTTTCCTTTGGATCTTAGCTTTCTTGAAGGATTATCAATTGACTTGGTCGTGGCTTGCGTTTTTGCTGTCAAATCCGTTCGAGGTGAGTTTCGTTGGCTCATACTGTCGGTCCTTTATGGGTTCTTTGATATGCTCGATTTATGATGGAGTTTAGTGTTAAAATAGGTTGTTTAAGACTGTAAGGTGATAAAAATTCTTCATCAAAGGCTGTACCATTCGGTTTTACTCCGAAAACTCTGGGTTTTTTAATTATGTAGGTAGCTATACTTTAATGGTAGAGATATGACTGAATTTGATGTCGAATTGGTTGTTTGTGACGTTTGGTCGTCATAGGAAAATTTGAATGTTGGCCGAGTATTTATGTGATTTTATATGTAATGTGATAGTGGAATTCTACAATGATTCTTGTGTTTTGATGAGGTTTAAAGTATAGATGAGTGATTTTGAAAGCTTAGGAATGATGTACATAAATTCTATTTGGACGAGGATGGTGTTCGATGGAAATGTAAGGTTTTGATCGAATATATTTTACTTAAGAATTATAGTTTGGGTTATATTTTACTTAGGAATGATTATATTTATGTGTTGTTCATCATCTTCTAGCCTGTTACACATTAAACAGGTGTTTGATAATGCCTCAGGTAGTGTCCTTGTGTTAGAGACGTGGTTTGAGCTTCATGAGTATGGACAGACAGAGGACGCCTGGGAGCGTGAATCAGCATGTATTGGACTATCTGAGACGTAAACAGCTCACGAATCCTGCTTTCTTTTATGAGATCGAGGGTGGTGGTGAACTTGGTTCAGCAAATGTTTTCTGGGCTGATCCAAGTTCCATGATGAACTATGCCTACTTTGGTGATACTGTAGTATTTGACACTACCTATAGGTCTAACATGTATAGAGTGCCTTTCGCTGCTTTCACCGGGTTCAACCATCATGGGCAACCTGTTTTGTTTGGTTGTGCTCTGATACTCAATGAATCCGAGTCCTCATTTGCCTGGCTTTTCCATACTTGGATTCATGCAATGTCAGCTCGCCCTCCTGTCTCTATTACAATTGAGCCAGATCCACTGATACAGGTTGGTGCTGCTCAGGTCCTTAGTGGGACCCACATTCGTTTCTGTAGGTGGCTGATTCTTAGAGAAACCAAAGAGAAACTTGCTCACGTATATCAGTCTCATCCTTCTTTGGAATCTGAATTTAGAAGGTGCATTAATGAAACAGAAACAATCAGTGAGTTTGAGGCATCTTGGGACTCCATTGTCAGAAGATACTATCTTCTGGACAACGACTGGCTTCAATCGATATACAGCGCTCGGCAACAGTGGATCCCTGCGTACATTCGGGACACCTTTTATGGAGAGCTGTCTGCAAATGATGGAAGTGGTATTTTGAACTTGTTCTTTGATGGGTTTGTGAATGCATCAACAACGATGCTATTGCTGATAAAACAGTATGAGAAAGCAATTGATAGCTGGCGTGAGAAAGAAATGAAAGCTGAATACGAAACAACTAACTCTATGTCGATTCTGAAGACCCCATCTTCCATGGAGAAGCAAGCGGCAAGCCTCTATACAAGAGCAGTATTTGTGAAATTCCAGGAGGAGTTGGTCGAGTCGTTCGCAAATCCTGCAACTAGGATTAGTGATTCGGGAACTGTTACCACTTACCGTGTTGCTATATTGGGAGAAGTGTGTAAAGGTCATACTGTCGGTTTTGACTCACTTGAGGTGAAAGCTAATTGCAACTGTCGAATGTTCGAATATTCAGGGATCATTTGTAGACACATATTGGCTGTCTTCAGGGCAAGAAATATACTTACACTTCCATCTCGGTATGTATTAAAGCGGTGGACCAGAGAAGCAAAAACCAGATGCACTGAGGAAGAACCACAGACTGCCAATGGTTGTCAAGAATCTTTAACTGCACACTTTAACACTCTACGGCAGGAAGCAATCAAGTATGTGGAGGAAGGGGCGAAGTCTATTCAGATTTATCATGTTGCAATGGATGCATTGGACAAGGCTGCCAAGAAGGTTGCTGCTGCAAGAAACAAGCTCAAGGAAACCACAACTGGAGCTGCACTTGCCAAAGGGGAAACTTGCGGGTTGCAAGAAGCTCAAGAGGCTGAAAATGCAGTGAATCAGCCAGAAGTTAGTGAATTATCCTACCTTCAGCTATCATTACTAATACACTCATACAAAATCCTTGGGTTTTATTTCCTTTGGATTATATGCTTTCACAATATCTGAAGTTTTCAGTTCATTTTCGTCAGGATGACAAGGAAAGGACAATCTATGAATTGACAACTGAGTTGGAGAGGACAAATCAGCGCTGCGAAGTTTATCGGACAAACTTGTTGTCTATTTTGAGAGACATTGAAGAACAGAAGTTTCAGCTATCCCTCAAGGTACAGTTGAGAGAGTGAACACCGTCTTAGACCACTTTTGGTAAGACTGTAAGGTGAAAAAAATTCTTCATCAAAGGCTGTACCAAATGACAAGGCGAGTGGCTCGGTTTTACTCCGAAAACTTTAGGTTTTTTATTTATGTAGGTAGCTATACTTTAATGGTAGAGCTATGACTGAATTTTGGTATCAAATTGGTTGTTTGTGACGTTTGATCGTCATAGGAAAATTTGAATTTTTTTTTGGTAAAAACTGAATTTTATAAATACTAAATTTTACAAAATATTCGGCATTCAATCCGATATGTCATACAAAAGATGGATTCCATCTTTTCTGGGTTAACACAACTCTTCTGGAACGGAAACAAAAAACTAGCGGAGAAACCCAAATACAAGTTCTACAACTGGTTAGGGGTTTAGGGGTTTAGGGGCTCGAGGTTCGGGGTTTCAGGCTTCGGGGGTTGGGTTTCGAGTTTCGGATTTTGGATTTTGGATTTCGGGGTTAGGGGTTAGAGGTTTAGGGTTTAGGGCTCGGGTCTCAGGGTTTTGGGTTTCAGGGTTCAGGTTTCGGGTTTGGGGCTCGGGGTTCGGGGCTGGGGTTTAGGAATTAGAGGTTCGGGATTAAGGTTTAGGGGTTCAAGATTCATGGTTTCAGGGTTTTGGGGTTTGGGGTTCGGGGTCAGGGGCCAGGGTAGATCAGAAAAGGGCTATTTATTGATTGCGACAAGTGGCGGACTAAACCAACAATGAACAGGGGTGAGTCACTGCTGCTGCTGCAGGCGTTTTCTGCTATTTCATCTTTTTTTTTTGTATACCTTTTCTCATCTATTTCTTCTTCTGCTGCTGCTTCTGCAGATAATAGATGTTGTAGTTGCTGCTTATATTCTAAACGCCACTCTGGTGGTGCCCAAGCTGGACCAGAAATCGTATTGGAAGGACTCGAGGTCCATTCTATTTCACTGTGTGTATGATTTGAATACTTTTTCCTCCTATATTCTAACTCTTCCTTTCTCTGCAGCAATTTTGGGGAAATCTTTGATGTCGATTGGTTCATTTCCTATCTCTCAAAGGACGTTAAGATAATCAAAGAACTGCCTCAAGAACAAGGAAAATTCCCCCGGCAGCACACTATGTGCGTTCCCAGGAAATGCACACTATCGTGCTATCTTCATTGTGTTTTGCCCCTTCTTACAAAGAAACATGTTAGTGAAACAAATGTTGAATTACAATTTTGCACCATGTTTTTTGACAGTTCTTGACAGGAAATGCATGAGCTAAATACTGATGATTTGAATCTTCCTTCTGAATTAAGTTACAACTTCAAAAATGTATGATCTGATGGTGCAGGCGGTTGAACTCAGCAAATTCGATTACAGGCTCTCAAGTAAGCTGGACGCCAACTTACAGAGGCTAAGATGTAGAGTTAACTACCACGCCTTGAGATATACACAATCTACTGACAAAATGGGCAAACTTCTTGTTGAAAGGATGAGAAAGCAAGCCCAGCATTTCGTTGCTTTTCGTCTCAGGTATTAACATAACTATGAGGAAACATGGTGTTTTAGCATGTTGGTTTTTAAGAAGATTCTGTGTTTCTGCTTCCCTTTTTCTCTTCTACTTGGCAGGCACTTTTCCAGTATATCTCCATTTTTTTTTTTGCTTCACTTCCTTGAGTAAGCTTGTGACTAAGAAAATTCTGGAAAATGTTTTAGGTTCGAACCTGATATGCTTGCGTTCTCTGGATGCTTATTCGGCGGCGGGGACAAGGAGAGGGCCGAACTGGGAGCCATCAGAACAAGATGGAAAACTTTACATGTGAGTCTTCACACGCATCTTTTGTCTGCATTATACATTTTCAATAAAAATATAAAAAAATTTATTAGTTTTAACATATTCCACATACTCATAAATCACAGTCGTTTGAGACCTTTTACGCTTTTTCACCACGACAAGTTCCTTTCAAGTTGATCTTCTGTATTCATCTTGCTCTTGCCAATATACTCACCCAGATCTCTGGCTCAGTGCTCCGAAAAGACTCACAACTGTGGTTGCTATAATTTGCAGACCGCAAATCCTGACAAGGTACGGAGACATGGTCGATGTCCACTGACGCCAGAAGAGATTGGTCTGATGCTTAGAGCATTATGTTTTGGGAGCGATGTTCACTTGTACGTGGCGTCAGGTGAGGTGTAAGGAGGAGATAAGACAATAGCTCCACTGCGAGCTCTGTTTCCAAATCTCCATACCAAAGAGACCTTGACCTTCATGGAGGAGTTGGCGCCGTTTGCTCAGTTCTCGTCGTGCATGGCTGCTCTTGACTTCATGGTCTGTGATGATAGTGATGCATTCGTCACCAACAACAACGTTATCATGGCTAGGATTTTAGCAGGACGAAGGTATTCTCTCCCTCTCTCTCTCTCTCTCTCTCTCTCTCTCTCCCTAGGGGTCATTGCAAAACAGATCAGTTGAGGCATTCGCATGTCTTTGCAGGCGATACTTTGGACACAAAGTCACGATCCATCCAAACGCCAAGAAACTCCACAAGCTCTTCACGAACCGAAACAACATGACATGGGACGAATTTGCATTCAAGCTCAGGAGATATCAGCAAGGGTGCATGGGTGAACCAGATGAAATAAAACCAGGACACGGCGAGTTCCACGAGAATCCTTCGTCCTGCATCTGCCGAATCTCTGAAGCGGCACACATGGAACATACAAGGGACAAAGAAACAGGATATCTAACAGAGGATGAGCCAGATCTGTCTGATTCAGAGTACTCAGAGATGGCCAATGTCCCTGTCACAGATGCAGGCTCAAGTAGATTGTTGCTGAAATCAGATCAGGCCGAAGTTGATGAGGTATTCTCAGACTGTTCATAAACTTCGGCCTCATTTGGGTTCCATTGATAAACAGTCTCTCTGTGGTTACCGCCATGTACACAAGTTTCTGAATCTGTAAATACATACATACGTACGTACGAAGGAGTGCATTCTTCGGCAAAGATATATTTGGACTTTGGGAATAATGCATTATGCATCATTTTAAGACAAGCTCCGGTAGATATTAATGTATAAAAAATATTATTATAATATCTCCAACTAGTGCATCAATTTAAGAGCATGGAGCCTGTGTTTTGTGGGGGGAGTGGGCTAGTGGGAGACAAGAAGGGTTCGAATCTTTAATGGGCCGGGATGGCGAAGGTTGTCACTCAAAACAAAGAGTAGAGTAGGTGGCTCCGAAACCCCAAAAGGAGTGTATTATATTAAGCTGATAAAGCTGCTATGGGCCAAATATGTAAAAAACCCAAAAAAGGAATTACAACACACAAAAATCTGTACACGTATAAACCTCCTGAGAATATAGAAAAGATTTGAATGGTATTGGTTTTTATTTTGGGTTTTTGGTTTTATTGGGTTTTTGGCTTTAGTTTTTGGTTTTTGGTTTTTAGTTTTTGGTTTTTGACTTTTGGATTCTGAAAGTTTATAAATCTAAAAAAAGGTGGTTTTTAGTTTTTAGTTGATTTTTTTTTATAAAAAGTTTGATATGCTCGATTCATTATGGAGTTTAGTGTTAAAATGGGTTGCTTAAGAGTGCAAGGTGGATACAAATTCTTCACGAAAGGTTGTCCCAAAAATCAAAGCTGGATGACTCAGAAAACTCTAGATTTTTGTTTGTATAGGTGGCTATACTTTAATGGCAGGGATATGACTGAATTTCAATATCGAATTTATGTGATTCTGTATCCAATGTGGCTGTGAATCTCTGTAATGATTCATGTGTTCCAATTCCATATCGATTCTTATAGGAAGAAAGTGGCATTCCGACATATTCCTGGGAACAGTCGAAAACAATGGGAAGGAGAAACACGTACGCGAGGCCCCGAGAGTGGTCACGAATTTCACCGTGGATCTGCTCGAGTTGAGGGCTCAGAGCGAACAGAGATCCGCAACCGGCAAACCCTAGCAAACTGGGAAGCCTTTGCACGCTCGAATCAACCCAACGAGCTCCCCGAAACCCTAAACCCTAGCAGGAGAGAAGAAATTGTCGAGCAGAGACGGAAGGAAGAAAACGGGGCGTGGAGAGGCACTGAAAAATATGTGGATGAAACCAAAAGCCGACGTGGCTTATCCACCGCTGCAAGAAACGAAGACTACGTGGAGGGCATTGAAGTTCAGGAATATATACCTTCTTTTCTTCAACCATCGGTTGCCTGCCAAATGGAGGTCCTTCGCCCCCTTCGGATACCGGTTCCGAAATGCGGATCTCCGAGAGGGAAGATGGTGGTACAGCTGCGTCCTATTCTTCATGCGAACCACTTGGTTCAGCATCGTCGGCGTAGGCGTCGGCGGCTTCTGAGGTCGGAAGCGACGGGGGGTCGGTCGCCGGAGGCGGCGGGAGGGAAGATGGTGGTACAGCTGGTGGGAGCGTTCAACGAGGTGACGGAGAGGATGAACTCGGTGTGGCTGTCGACGTGCTCCTCGAGGCTTCTCTTCAAGGCCTTGAAGCTCTCTATCCCCATCTTACAGTCTCTTCCTCCAGCCCCTGACGGCCGCTCTCCTCTCTCCAAGGCTCTCTCCCTTGCTCTTCTTCTCGCCGATCTCCAGGTTCCTTTCCTTCTCTTTCTCTCAAACTATGGTGATTGAACTTAATTACGCGCTCGATTATGCATTCCCACGGTTTCCTGTGGTTGATTCGGTGCGAACAATCGGAGAAAGGAGCGTTTGAATGCTACGAAATTCAAGTAAGAAAGGAAAGTCGAGGAGGGATAACTAGAGTCGAAGTGTCTGCTCACTTTCGCTGTGCAGCCATCTGCTGTACTCTTGCTAAGTCATCCTGGTCATCTGTGACTAGACATTAAAATGAAAACATCCGAGTAGGTTCTGTCGTTGACCTGAGAGTTGAAATGGATGGTGAATGGTATGATAATAGACTCTTTGAAATCTAGGACTGTGAAGAAAAAACTGACTTACCACTGCTTGGCCCAGCAAGTTAGTATCTGCTCATCAGTCACTTTTGCCTTGATCTTGTTTTATGATCGTTGCAGATGGATGGAGAAGTGATCTCGGCGAGCATATTGAGCGAGATTGTAGAGGCAGGTGCAATATCCATTTATGAAGTTAGAGACCGGATTAGTACTGGCACTGCTCATTTGCTGCACGAGATTGTCCGCATGAAAAGCATCCCATTTAAGATTGATGTGTTAGATGACGAGACCGCAGCTGCCCTGAGGAAGTTCTACCTCACATACTATGATGTCAGAGCTGTGATCATGGACCTCATTCTGAAGCTTGACAAGATGAGGCATTTAGATCACTTGCCGAGATATAGCCAGCAGATGCTCTCGCTCGAGGTGATGAAGATCTATGCTCCATTGGCTCACACTGTGGGAGCCAATCGCCTATCCTTGGAGCTCGAGGACCTCTCTTTCAGCCACCTTTTCCCGTACTCATATCTCTATCTTGATTCTTGGTTAAGAAATCATGAGTCCGGGTCTACGCCTCTGATAGATGTGTACAAAGAGCATCTTCATCAGGCTTTGAAGGCTGATCCAGCCTTGGCCACGATGACGGATGATGTTATTGTAAAAGGTCGATATAAAAGCCGGTACAGCATGATGAAGAAGCTCTTGAGAGATGGGCGTAAGCCCGAAGAAGTGAACGATGTGCTCGGATTACGAGTGATATTGATGCCGAGTTCTGCTGCAGACACTGCTAACACGGGAGAAGAAGCTTGCTACAGGACCCGTCAAATTATCCAATCTTTGTGGAAGGAGATACCAGAGAGAACGAAAGATTACATTGCGCATCCAAAAGCAAATGGGTATAGGAGTTTACACATGGCGGTGGATGTGAGCGAGAGGGGTCGGGTGAGACCTCTGATGGAGATACAGATACGGACAACAGATATGGATGCATTGGCAAACGCTGGCACTGCATCACATTCGTTGTACAAGGGTGGTCTAACAGACCCCGAAGAGGTAAGTTGGTGGATGATTGGCTTCAACTTTCAGAGTTGGGATGTTGGGAAGGGCTGGGACAAGCTCTCCAACAGTGAAGTGGGGGCCATAGGGCTAATTGACCCCTTACCCAATGAACTGACTGACTAGTTTGCTTTGATGGGGGAAAAAACAGGCAAAGCGGATAAAGGCGATAATGATGGCTGCTACAGAACTTGCTGAGATACGGATGAAGGATCTTTCGTATGGCAAAAGCCAAGGTTGGAAGGGAAAGCAAAGAGAGGGAGAGGGAGTATTCTCACTGCTTGACAAGAACGGGGATGGAAGGATAAGCATAGAGGAGCTAATAGAGGTGATGGAAGAGCTGGGAGCCCCAGGAGAGGATGCGGAGGAGATGATGCAGCTTCTGGACTTGAACAATGACGGGTCTCTGAGTTGTGATGAATTCGACAACTTCCAAAAACAGGTACGTCGGTTCCAAAATTTAATGAATTAAGATTTTTTTTTAGTGTGGAGATATGTGAGGGTAGTTGTGATGTGGGGCGCAGGTGGAGTTTACCAGGAAATTGGAAGAAAAGGATCGAGAGTACAGGAGCATGCTGGATGAGAAACTTCATCAAGTTTCATCATCATCATCTCCTCTGGTTTGATTCAGCTCAACAGCAGGGAGCTCGGCAATGCACACCCACTTCCTAATCATTCCTGAATTGTGCCATTTGAAACTAGTATCGTGTATGTATATACATAAATGGGGGATGCAAACAAATAATTATGCACATAGAGAGTGTGTGTGTGTGTGTGTGATACAAACTGCAAATGGTATGGGATTGCATCCGCTTGCACATTCTGTTTTACAAAGGGAATAGAGGGTGATAGCGGCAGATTGATGACGATTCCAATGCTGATCCCGTGGGCTTTTCCTCCCTACATCTTCAATGGACTCTCTTCTAACCATAAATTCCACTACTTAAATACATGAATTTATCCTTTTTATTTCCTTTTTTTTTATTATAATTGTACTAATGATTTTTTTTTTACATTACATTCTTTCCGGCAAGTGAAAAACCATGCGCCGGGGATTTGCATCTAAAACGGGAGACTGGAGGGAGAGGAGAGGAGAGGAGGGGGTCAAGAAGCCTTGGCAAGGGCTTTAGAATTGGCGTGTGTGCCCACTTCATCTACCACTCTTTCATACAACTGCATCCACAATCATTGCCAAACATCCTCTTTGACGTATGTAAATACGTTAAAATAGATATGGGAGAAAAATAGAGCCGTTCATTACCTGTCTATAAAGGGATGAATCCCCGTGCACTTTCCTGAGTTCAACCACGTTCAATGACGCACTTATCTCCATCACCTGTTCACAAGACCATTTCACAACCCACCCGTACATTTATATTCAGAAAACAGCATCATCAACGACAACAACATGGAATGACAGCTCTTTACACCAGCGGTGGGTGGGAGTTTGCGTACCTCAGCTGTCACAGATAAACCACCGCCTTCAACTGTCTGACCTCTTTCCTCCGTTACTTTCAACTGCACCCACCACCACCAAAAACCTCCTTCTTAGCAGAGTCTTGACGAAAAGACATATGCGTATGTATGTATGTACGTATGTATGTATGTATATATATAGATATATATCCCAAGTTACAGCAAATATAGCAGAAACCCAAAAAAAAACCCTCACCTTTCCATGTTTCTTCTGCACCCTGTATCCCATCTCCTCAACAGTTCTTTCGATTTTCTCTAGCAAATCTTTCCCACAGCTATCCGACGTGAACCTGACCTTCCTCTCTGATACATCCTGCGCATACAACCAAACTTTTATATACGATTGTCATCCCATTATATATATGATGAGGCTAGTTTCCTTAACCCCATAGAAATCTCAAGTATCTGCCTCATTCTTTTTCCATTTAACATCACGCAGTCAATGCTGCTATCCACTCTGTCAAAGCTTTAATCACTTTAGACGCTCCAAAACAAACAACTTTTTATTTCACCTGACCTGAATACCAATGCTAAGGCTAAAAGGCTTTCCAGTCTTTTGTCAAGGTACAGTTTCTGAGCCTAAAACCTTTATCGATAACTAATTTTCATTTCGGCCTACCTATCTCCCTAAAGAGACAAATCATCCCCCCCTATTACCCTTTTCCAGAACCCTTACCTCTTTCTCGAAGAAACCAGACAAATCAAGGAACGATGACATTCCGATCAACTGAAATGCATTGATCACGGTGGGGGAATCAGGGCCTTTGCCTTCTTCAAATCCCTTTTCCAGAGAAAACAAAAAAAAAATGATTCAGCACAATATTCTTGATTCCTTTTGGGATAAGTGCAGAGTAAACTCGAATTGTATAGAAAGAAGACACAGCAAAAAAGAAGCAAGGGTATATATAGCCACAAAGTCATACAACTTCTTGGATCGAGAAGTCTTCATCATCAATGTGAACATCTTCGTCGTCGTCATCGTAGTTTGAAGGAGTGTAGGCATGCTGGAACCATTCACTGGATTTAATCCCAGTGATAGTTATCCTCTTGACTGGGTTTGGATCAAGCATTCTCTTGATCATGGTTCTGGCGCCTGGTGATAGCCACTTTGGTATTGGAGGGTCCCCTTTGCAGATCTGACAGGATAAAGTTATATTTGACTTAGTGCCAAGGGTAAAACTAGAGCTTTGAATATCAAGGAGAAAGAAAAGGCATTACCTTCTGGTAAAGAACTGCAAGGTTTCTATCATCAAAGGGGAGACATCCGGTGAGAATAACATACAAGATAACACCACACGACCATATATCTGATGCTGCACCATCATAGCCCCTGTTGGCAAGAACCTCAGGCGCAACATAGTTAGGACTACCGCAGGTGGTGTGTAGCAATCCATCGTCCTAGTATTTCAGTGCAAAAGAAAAAAGTCAGAACATGAACACTTTGTTGCCAATGCTAAGCTTTGGGAGACTGCCAATTACCCTAAAATGCTGAGGCAGAGCACTGAGGCCGAAATCAGTGATCTTAATGTTTCCCTTTGTATCAAGGAGAACATTCTCTAGCTGCATCGCGGAAGGAAAGGGCTGATGGAAATCAGAACACATGGAACTATTACTATTAAGTTTAAGGCTTTTGCGACGAGAAAATACAACCTTGAGATCCCTGTGAAAAACGCCCTTGCTGTGACAGTAGCTGATTCCGTCGATCAGCTGCTGAAACATTTTTCTCCCCTCAGTTTCTGGTAGCTTTCCTTTGGAGACCTGAGACATATTATTGTGGTTTTAGACTGAAAATCACGGGCAGAAAGGCAGTAAGTTTAAGAATCATCCCAAGAAGCACAAGTCTTACAATTCTGTCAAATAATTCTCCTCCGGTTATGCATTCTAACACCATGTAAATCTTAGTTTTGCTAGCCAAGACCTGCATGATCACCAGAAGGAATTGGTATATCAAGTCAATCATAATAAAAATTAGAGAGCATTAAAACCCATCATTAACTCTATATACGTCTCATGAGAACCCAAGAGGACGACTTGGTGCGCCACAAAAAACTTTAAATCTAGAATCCATTTCCATAAGTTCCAAGACTTCGTCGGGACTAGACTGGAAAACTGAAGGACCAAGATTTACATATCCATGCAAGACGAACGTTTTACTAGGATCTCGTAGATTAGTCAAGGTGGACAAAGTCTCCATTGGATTCTAAAGGAAGCATCCAAAATGGGATTGCTTAACCGCGGGATTTGGTTAATACTCTAGCGAGGCAAGCAATCATAGATTGGAGATGATTAGAAGTCAGCAACATAGGTGCCCCACGTTTGGACCACAGGGATTGCGAAAGAAAATGCAATACGCAAACAATATTTTATAATTACTGCTAATCGAGATGGCTCCACATGATATGGAAACTGTGACGAGCACCGCATCCTGCATTATTTATGGACGCTTTGGGGCCCACTTTGAAAGGAAAAGGTCAAATTTGGGTTTCGGGATGAGAAACAAAATTAAAACGAGGAAAATAATCTGGAACAAGCAGAAGGACGTGGCCCAGGAAAATGCAAAGAGAGAAAAATAAACCAAAGGAACGTGCTTGAATTCTGATCCAAGCAATCAGCATTCGTCCGAGTAGACAAAGAGAACGAGCATATCTATCGACAATTCATCGACAAACGCGTTCTCCGATTTCGTGCACGAATTAAATAGAACATACCGTGATTTTAGAGATATCCAAAAAAAATGAAAAAAAAAGGAAGAAAGAATGGGAGAGAGACCTCGTATAATCGGACGATGTTGGGATGCTTTAGCAGTTTCAGCGTTCGGATCTCACGCTTAATCTGCGAGAAAATCGAAAGGAAAGAGAGCAGGGAAACTAGGTCAGCGGAAATGCGAACAAGAGTAAATGAAACGGAGAGGGAGTAGGTAAATGTGAGGAACCTGGAAGGAGACGTTGAGATGAGCGATGCGGGACTTGTCGATGATCTTGATGGCGAAGGAATCGCCAGAGACAGTGTCCCTCGCGAATTTGACTTTGCCGAAATTGCCTTCACCAAGAGTCCTCCCGAGCTCGTACTTCCCCAGCCACATTCCCTTCTTCGCCGCCGCCGCCGTTTCTTCTCGATTTCTCACCATCCAAACACCTCCCGGATGATCCGATTCCCAAAACAATTCGATTGTTTATCTAATTCAACAGACTGTATTGTAAGCTATTCCACCCTATGCATGTATACGCGTCTGCTGTATATATATACACACACACACAAACGCAGAGACGCGGGCGAGCGAGAGAGAGCGAGAGTCCCCACGCCACTTCCCTTTGCTTTCTCTTCCCCTCCCCTCTCTCCGCCCCCTTCAACTTATATTCACAATTATTATTTTCTTTTCGGAAACTTTTAAATTTATATACCCAACCAACCCAACAAGGATACATATCATATTCTTCCTCTCTGTGGCCACAAAGTATCTCCTTTAAAAAAAACATTTAATTTAATTTGTGGTGATATATCCAGAAATAACACAACTAGATCTTTGGATTTTCTTTTGATCAAATATAGAAATTCACCTCCTAAAGAAACCAAATTACACATTTGGGTTTCAATTTTTTTTTTTTTAAAAAATACCAAATACATGTATTTTATCTTTTGTGACAATTTATTCGGAATATAATACAAGGGTGAGCCAGAGGGAAGCGTATCGTGTCCCCCCACGGAAGTTTGTGCCGTGTAAATCATTTCTGCGTCTACGAAACCAATAACCAAACTATTTCTTTTGTTTTTCATCATTGACATTGAGGCCATGGGGGCAATTTATTGAATAACAGATACTTTGGGTAAAAATGTTCACTTTCTCGCCACATTTGTGTTTTTTCTTCCACGTGAAATCATTAAATTCTAAATAAAGTAATTAATTAACAGATAAATGCATCAATTTTTTGCCATTTCCAACCGACGGGGTGGGCGGTGGTGCGGCCGCCTCGCCACTCACGTCGGTCGTATTTTCTGATACACGTAATTAAATAGATAAGGAACAGCACTTGTCTTAGCTTTCAGAGGAGGTTTCGATTTATATTCATTATGTTTCCCTTCTTCTTCCTTTTGTTATCCTAAAATTGACAAAGTCAAAATTATCAACGATTGAAAAAGTATTGACACGTGGTGCAATTCTCTACTAGGAATTAACGGACATAAAAGTGGACTGAGTTCCTTTTATAACAAATCTTTCGGGGTTTCACTTAAATTATGTACAGATTTGAGAAAATTGTGTGATATTTCTTATAATGCTTGAATGGTTGATGCGAAGACATGCCTCCACACAATTTTTTAATGGAGGAAAAGACATGGCCCTGACTGCGAAAAGAGAAAGAGACACACATAAATAATGTGGCCACGTGAACCACCTAACGGAACATGAGGCCATGCAGAGCTCTCTCGGCCCTTCCGGTTCTTTCATGCTGACAAAAGAAGACTAAAAGACGATAGATGGACGAATCGGTTAAACCGGCGTTAATTTAATAATTTTAGATGATGCCCACATTTGCGATTCGTTTTTATTCTACAGTAAACCTATGGTTTTACATTTTTTTTCACAAAATAGATACCAAGCCTATTGACTTTCCTAAGTATTTCAAGTTGGGTAGTTCAATCGGTGAAAATGGGGAAGCAAAGCGTCTGTTCCACCTTGAATTCGAGTCTCGAATTGGAGAGGAAAACGTAATTCTAATCATATGGTTTGTTGCATGTCTCCGTATTAATCTGGGTTTCAGTTCAGAGCACCCGATTACCAACAAATATGAGGATGCGGTCCACGTCCATCCACTGTTTTGTTTGGTCGAGTAATTAATATATCCGAGCAGAAAATTATATAGCAAGGGCACAATTAATGCTTGGTTTGTGTTTGAGTACACATTATATTAACACGAAAAGGATGGATATTATTAGGTAACACATTTTTATTTTTGTGGTGTAGTATATATACGCATTAATTTTGAAGGAGATGGGCGGTCCCCAATTAACCAAAACATATCCGAAAGTATCTTTTAAGGTTTTTGTATGCATATGGGTTACCGACTCCTAGCGTACGCGTGTATATCATAACTCAACCCCATCCACTCACAAATGTCCACGTCATGTATTATCATATATTACCCTTGGCTATGACATTACCAGAAAACTAACCCTATATGCAAAAAAAAAAAAAAATCGTTTTAGCGTCAAAAAGTATCTTTATTTATTTTTTAAAAAAATTCTTTACTACAAAAAAGCACCTCATTTGATTCTTATAAAATCTAGTATTTATTGTTTCGCATTTATATATAAAAACCAATCCGACATCGATACGTGTAGTTAATTATACAAACAGATTTTCCGACCTTTTGGAATAAAACTATGTGCTAACATGTCGTCTGTCTGGACCATTTTGTTTTATATGAAGCGGAATCTCGTTCAATTATGCATAAATTAATGGATTTATGCGAAAAGTGGGTCATTTGTTATAAAGCGAGATCCCACACTATCAAGTTAATAATTTAATTTTGTCCAAAAAGGGACTTCATATACATATAAATATATAACAGTCCCGGAGTTAGTGGATGATGAGTCTCTTTCTCTAGAAAACCTTATCCAAAACATGCATATATATATTAATATAGATATATACACCCATTCTGCTGGTGAAGAGCCAAGCAAAGGCTTTCCCACATGTCCTTCTTACATCATGCAACTCTCTCGTACAATCCAAATTCTCAGTTTCTCGTTCACTCTCTAGTTTCGGAAGAACAATGTAAAATCTCAACCAATGAAATGATGAACACGTATGATATCCAACCTGGATAGTTCATCTGGTCGGACGCAAAGCGTTTATCCCGCCCCGAGTTCGAATCTCAAGTTGGGGAGGAAACGCATCATTCAAATCACATGGCCGGTTCCCGGTTCCGAGATTAGTCTGGGTCTCGATTCAGAAAACCCGGTTACCCAACAAAAAAAAATGACGAACACGTATGATGTATACTAAAAATGTGAACGCTAGATGTGTTATGTCGGTCTCCAACCTTAGCTTTGAGAAGATGGGGAAATTAAAAAAAAAAAAAAAGTGATGACGTTTTCATGAGGGATGCCACCATAAAGTTTGGTGATATCAGTACAAGATGAAACAGTTGAGAAATCTGGTAAAAGCAACAATCGATGTCAATCGAAGAAGAGTGGAAAGGATAAGCGCGACAATTTATGCACAAGATAACCTATCCATTTCAAGTTACATTGCATAAATAACTCGGGGTCAATATTATAATAATAATAATAATAATAATAATAATAATAATACTAATAATAATAATAATAATAATAATAATAATAGTTGGTTCGTCCGTTGGAATTTTCAAAAGCCAAGCCGGACTTTGCTGACGATTACGACAAAGGGGTTATTAGATTCGATTAATATGGATCTTCCAATATGCCTTTTTCATATAATAATCAATGTCGATTATTACAATTATTATTGTATATTTTTTGTGTTAGATTGTGTAGATTGAAAATGGAAAAGAACAACGTCAATGACCGAGGATACTTATCCACATAGAAGTACTAACAAACGACTTTTTTTTTTTTGATAAGGGTTGTTGTATTACTATGAAATTTAAGTACATAGTGGAGAATGTTTAAGATTTACAAAAAAGTCAGACATCCAGCAAGTGGAAAGGTGTATCACCTAGTGAAGGCTTATCCCTCACACGTGGCTCCTGAAATCAGTGGAGAACCATAACTGAAGGCTACGGCTGGCTAGTTCTGGAGCCGCTTGGCGGAGTGCTGCAATGCGCATTCTAAATGTTCGTTCAATTTCCCGAATTAGATAGTGGGTATCCTGAAAGGTTTGCTTATGCAACCTGTGATTCCTTTCTTTCCAAAGAAGGTAAGTGGATATCTGCCAAATCGTAACGGCCGTCCATCGTCTGAACCTGCATCCTATAGAGCCCAGAAGAAGCTGTAGAACAGCCTGCCATGGAGAGTGCAAAGAAACCGGGATTAGTCTACCCAAGCTACCAAGGATGACCTCATTAGAGTAAGGGCATTTGAAGAAAATGTGGTCCCTGTTTTCCTCTGAATCCTGACAAAGTAGACAGCTAGAGTTGACAGTTAATCCCCATGATCTCAGTCTGTCTCTGGTAGGACATCGGTTTAAGTTTATGATCCAGCATTTGAATGCAAACTTGGGTATATGTTGCTTGTGCCATATCAGTTTCGAGCATGGATCAAGCTGCAAATTTTCATTGACACATTTCCAAACCTTCTTTGAAGAGTAATCGGAGGATACCTTGCCTAAGGTTTGCCAAACAACCTCATCAGGGTTATGAGTGAGACTGATCGGTGCCAAGTGGAGTGCTAGCTTGAGGGCCGAATCTGATCTCGGGGTGGCGATTTGCCAAGCACCACCCGAGAAAGCTTCAGAGACCCAGGCTTGGAGGGGGATGCCTATCTGAGACGGTCCGCCCCTACCAAAGAATCTGATCAACGGTCCAAGAGGTGTCCATGGGTCGAACCAGAATTTAGTTGTCCTCCCATCACCCAATCGGACACTGAAAAAATCTGAAGCCCAGGGTGTGACACCCGTAACCCGTGTACAGTATACGGACTGTGCCACATGGACAATATATAATAAAATAATAGTTAACAAATTTGCGGAATAAAATATTAAATTAACAAATTT